GTTCTTGCAGTCATGTAAGATCCAGAAATTATGGTGGCTTTCCAGGATGTGGCCCAGAACCCAGCAAATAAAGTATCGGAGCAACCCAAAGATTATGAATCTGGAGGTCAAGTCAAATTTGGAGGTCAAGTGAATGCCCTTATGACAGATAAAGTTCTTGCTGAAGGAAGAGCACTTCAGATCACCCAGTGGATGTCACAATAATACAAAGCAGTATGCCTCTGACTGTCTCATGAAGAAAGCTGGAGTGCTTTGAAGAGAATCCCTACCTCTCTGCCCCGAAAGCAGCTGTAGCATTTTACAATGGTTTGGCATTAGGGTATTCATTTAGATAATGTTTTCCTACTAGGAATTACAAACATAAAACACTTTTAAGCCTTAAAAATATTTAAAAACAAAAGGATGTGTTAAATTCTACATATTTCTTTACTCATCACTTTGGTTTTTTCCTTTGAGTTAATTGGGCAAAGAATTACTTTGGAAGATTTATTATGTAGTTTATTTGTGGGAAGCAAATATAACATTTACATAGATAAAATTTGAGTATGATATATGGTTACTGAGGCATTTCAATCTCTCTTAAATGCTTTATTTTTTCAAAAGTGATTTATTTCAGTAAAAATACTAAGACCACCAGTATTGCCATAGGACCTGGGTAGAAGTACCTGGCAGGGTGGCAACAATCTTAACTACATTTTACATTAACACGTACCCTTGTGTGGATGCATTTAAATCAAACTGTGGTAAAGGGATGATTTTTATAATGCTGCAGTAGAATTGGATTACTTAGCTTTGTTCTTGTCCGATATATAAAATAAGTGTTTCGTATTATTTCCACATAGGAAATAAGGGAATACTTTTTATATTTCTATATTTTAAATTACCTTTCTGGGTCAGAAAATGCCCAACTCTTTCAGCTTTCTTCTTATTCCCCCCACCCCCTTACTCTTCTTTGGCTAAAAATAGTCCTTTTTTACTAACATCATCACTGTTACTATCATTCACAGCATGACTGTACAAGCATATTTAATACTGAGTTTAATTTACTGTGTAACACATACAGTAACTATGTAGGCTGTAGTTTCTTACTTGGCTGAGAGATTTTGTATTTCAGTATTAGATTTCTACTTTGGTGACATCTCATATCAAAAGATGTTGGAAAGAGGGATTCCCTGTGGTGGTTGGTCTTCTATTTAGGAAATGCCAATTGGGTTTTTGTTTGTATTTTGGAGAGTATGAGGTTTGAATTGATTAATACATAAAGGAGAAATTCTTGATCCAATGTGAATTATAAAATTGATGAGATCCATGGTTCTTCATTGTAGGGTTGTTGGCATTGTGAAAAAGTCATTGTTCTATTCAGCTCTTAAATACTGCAGCCTTATTTCCACCTCTTTCTCTCCTTCCCTCTCCTCCAAGGGTAAAGAAAATGATAACTTTTCTGTTATACATTCAATAATTTTATTAAATAAGACTAAACCCAGGCACTGTACTAGGAATTTCTAGGTTTCTTCCTGTCTTTCAATTAAAATGCTAGTCTTTAAAAGCAACTTCAAGAGATGAGACCCTCTGTACTTTGCTTATTTGAAGAATCAGTGGTAGGAGCAGTGAAGTAAATTTCACGAAATATATTTTTGAAATAGCACATCTCTGAAATCATAAGTTGATTCAGATTCTAACCCTTCGCTGTACACAAGCAGATAGAAATGCATCTGTTCTATAAGTCAGAAAAAGCTGCATGCTAACTGAGCATGTTATTTTAACCCCTTTAAAAATACTCAGCATATAAACTTGCGTTTGAGCTTGCCAATATTCTTTTTGTTAATGTGTATTCTTAATATTTCCAGTATATACTGTGAATAACTCAAGAAGACTATGTGCTTCTGGATTCCTTATCTAATTTGATTTACTGAACTATACGTTACCTAAGTACGTTCTAACATTGCAAATATTACCAGTAATGGGTAAAAGTAAAATTGGTCTTCTGAAAATGTGTCCTGTGCTTTTATACTTTTAAGTTCCACAAATACAAAATACATTCCTCATTTTCATAGAAACTTAGTGTCATTTCTCAACAGAAATGTTCTTGTACTAATAATGCTGTAGGAAAGAAAAGTAAAGCAAGGTTTGTTCTGCTTAAAAATATATAGTTGTTGGCTGTTTTTAGCTACATTAAAAATAAAGTATGGTCTCAAACTAGAAAAAAATCAGTTCTTTGTATTGAGTTAGATTTTTTTGTAATTTGCACTAGCGGAGTCACTTAATGGCACCTTGGTTCTCCATGTTTTATTTATAAGTATAAAAATTAATTCTAAGAAAACATTTGCTCTTGGGAGGAAGGAGGGAAGTGGTTTTAACTTTTTATGGATGAAGTCTTCAGGGTACCACAAACAAAGGTTGTTGTTTTTTTTTTTTCTGTCTCACTGTTCTCAGTGTTCTCTTGAGGTCTTTATGTGATGAGAATATTTCTTTACATTCCTTTGGTATGCAAAGTAACCTTTTGCACTAGTTTACTGCTTTTCTTTCCTCCCTATGATGTGATAATACAGTCAAAGCTTTTTAAAATCTAAATTTGATGGGACAGTGTAAATGAACTAAAATGACTGGTTAATTAAGAATTAATATCCATGACCCAGGTGG